ATTATTTACAATAAAGCTAAACAGTGTGTCACAGGGAAGGTGGGAATTTGAAGGAAAGTCTAGTCCCTACAACATATCAGGTATTAATTAAGATTTATAATGAGTTAAAACTTGTATTTTGTCATATAAAATGACTATGTCAATTATGTTCATTGTAAGTAGTTTTAAATTCCCGTTTGGAAAGCTGATAAGGTCCAAGCGAGATAGAAACTGTTGCCAATCCTGACTGTGGTGGCCTTGTGGTAGGCAAAGTAAGATCACATTAAATGGATAAATGAGGCCTACTCATTAGATTGTGATGAGATTCAACTATCATTTTCTAATTATCTTCTGCAACCCAATGTGACTAGAACTTCTATTCAAGATTTACTGATAGTCCCGAAATATATTTCCTTTTGATAAAATCAGAGTTGTTTTTGGTCACCGTTCTTCTCTTACCTGGGTTTTTGCTAAATTCCTCAGCTCCTCGCCATAATTGCAATACAATTTAATGACAATAAGGATTCAAAAATGGTATCTGGTGAAGGATAGATAAAATTAAAATTAAAATTAAAATTGTAGGTATTCACAACGGTCCTCGTCATATGATTTTTGTTCAGCATAAGGCTTGGTTAAAGTCCCAATGAATCGGTATATTCTTGGAATTGCTATAATTTTGTCTGGCTCAGGTCATTTTCAAGGCAGCTTTATCCTTCCTTTCTACCACAAATATCTAGTTTATGACTGTGCTGGCATTTCTTATATACAAGAATAAACAATCCATTTTCCTGCACGAAACCCCGGTTTAATTATTATTATGACATTTACAAATTATCATTTATAAATCCATTCTACAAATGTTTGCTAATAGACCTACTTTCCTAACTCACCTGCAAATATGTCATCATTGTTTGGCGATATCAAAGCCCCCGTCCAGTTGATCATGCCGTTCCAGTCTGGCAATTTTAACCGGACCAAACGACTTCCGGCCATTCCTTGATTTTCATGACTTCCTTTGCTAGCTGCAACAACCTTCTTACGTCCAGCATTCTGCTCGGCGACAGACTTTTGGACATCTACTGAACTAAAATTTTGACTGGTATTAGTTCCTATGAGGTCAGAATAGTTTTTATTGACGTCATTCATTTGATTTGCTCCCAAGTTTGGCAATTCATTTGCTCTAGTCGACCCTCTCAACGGTAGTCTTGGATACAGATTTGCAGTTGCCATATACGTGAAACCATCATCCGAGTTCAGAACGACTGGTGGGCGACTGGGATCCAATGAGGTAAAGGCTGGGTTTTCCCATTGTAGCAACTGCTGATTCAGTCTGTTTGGCTACAAAATAAAAGTAATACAAAGAAATGCTTTTATTTTATTGTCATCAAAGGGTAGATTTATCATTGGGTACTGGAAAAGAGGGAAGTTTAAGGACCAGATTGCAGAGCTAGGTCACATTCGACTTACGAGAGTTAGTTGAAAATCTGAGAGTATTTTTCCATATGTCAGATTTTCAGTTAATGTCAGATACGTATCTTAGTTACCACATTTCAAAATACTCAACGTTTGGATAGAATATCTTGACCCTCAGCTGTACTACTAAGGTGTAGGGGAGACTAAATGTTGGGCTTCGGAAGATGATAGACAGGTGTCATTATGAATCGTTAAAATCCATCTATAACTGAACACATTCGCTTTTGAAACTTGAAAAAATCCATGTATTGTATCATAGCAATTTTTGGCAAAGATATATGCTTATTTGAACCTATGCTAAAGGCAAAATTATGTTGGTGAAGTCCGAGGTGGCCCAACAGGAGCATTAGGGTTATCTCACTAATAAGCAATCGCATTTACTTACGTTCGGCACAAAACACCCTGTATTCTTTGGCGCCTCAGGGGAGATCTCTTCTGGATTATGGAATTGGTCTATATAGCAAAGCCAAAAGAATTCATCATTTGGCATCGCCTCTAGAAGATTTATGGTTCGTGTCTCTCGCTGGTCGTTCTAGTGGGATAAGGGTAGGAGAGAACAAAACAAGAAACCGAATAAAAATATAAATGAGTAGTGTTCATCTACAGTCAGGCGAATCAATTCTTTTCCAGACTTAGCGAGAAGCGTTGAGCTGCTTATGTAAGGCCTGAGAGAAGTAGCTTGACCTCGGTTTCGTAAAATAATCGTGTTTTCAGGACTGCCTATTTAGCCAATCTTTTACCAAGTACACTGTCGTGGTAGTCATGATACTTTCCAGATTCTGACTGTGTCCCTTTGACAAATTGTAGCTTTACGTTAAGAATGGTAAGGTTTGGGGGATCTGCTGATTATGATGCAGGCGAAGCGTCTGGGAATTTACAAAGCACATGGTCTGACGTTTGAAATTATCAGAACTACTGTGTAAGAGGATTTTTAACAAGATGGGTACGTCTTCTTTGCCCTGACAACACTACCAAGTTGGAAAAACAAATTTTAACCACTTTTATGCGTCTAATAACATAGAGGTCACATCAGTTTGGCCTTCATACCCTTGATTAAATACTGATGGTTTAATTTCTTAGATTAAAATGAGTAGGCATCAATGAATTACCCTTTGCCTCATTCCCAAATGAGTTTTATCGTCCCGAGTGGCTGGCATTTGAACCTCGCATAAGTCTTATCATCATCCTCATCGTCCTCCAGACCCAGTGATGCGCGCCAGTTGGCAATAGCTAAGCATATGCGAAGAAATATAATTTGACAAACCAGTC